AAACATAAAATTCACAAAATAACTATCATTTAATTAAAATATAATTAAATTCAAAAACACTACTTAAAATATAAATGAGCACATACATTAAATTAATAAAAATTACCTTACAGTCCTAATTACTTTAAACTAAATCATTGCTAATAACAATTTTCCCAATAATACCAAATTCCTTTACTTCCACCTTACATTTAGAACAATGCATAAAAATAATATCCTCAAATAATTAAAAATACTAACTTACCTGAAGATCTCGCACAACCTTAAAGAAACATTTATTACTACCCTTTTCAATACCATTAAATACCCATTTCGAATTCACTTTAGTTACGGCCATGGGATCCAAAAATTCACGAACACTGTTTCACACAACACAGAATAAAGCCAAATACAAAATTTCCATATTTTTTCCCGATTTCCCCCCTTTTCCGATTAAAGAACCGTAATTCGTCCATTAATATCACATGACATATCCCATGATCTCTCATTTCCCTCACACAAAATAATGCGTAATCGGAACTGAGTACTGCTCACATTATTACCAAAGTCCCAGTTAGTAACCTTTATCGCCTCCAAAATGTCGCCAAACTACCAGTTACCATATTGTAAAGATCAACCTATTGCCAAGTTGTTTCATTTATCGTCAAATTGTTGTTTCATTTTATAGTAACATGAGTAGATGTAAGGGCTGTTCAAATGTGTAGATTTGTACATTTTTTGCCCTTACATATGTGTAGATTTGTAAGGGCTTATTTCTGCATTGGATGTCAGTTAGCAAATACGTTTCTTATTTTGTGCTCTACACTGTAAAATGGCTGTTTGTGATGAGATTAGTCTGAAGTTTCGGTACAATTTGGAATGAAGGAGGAGAAAAAGCATTAATTGACTTATGTGTAAATGAAGGTTTAGTTAGTAGTCATTATAAGTGTCTTGTTTGTATGAATGAAATGTGTATGGTTGAACGTAAAGATCATTCAAAGATGGCTTTGTCAGAAGAAAGGTTCATGCAAGAAATGCCATTGGCAGTCCAGCACTGCAGAGGATATTTTTGGCTCTTATTTTTGTGAATTTATGTGGTGACGGGAGTATGCATATTCTAGTTCAGATAATTTTACAAAAATTTTAGATGCTGTTATAGAATTTTTTGTGCCAGACTGAAGACACAGAAATGTCTAAATATAGTCGATATGTCCTTTTTGTAGTGTGTATATGCGATAACATGTATTTCCTTTTTTATGTTATTTCATTGTGTGATAAATGCATTTGACTGAGCTTCAATTGGCTACAAATTTTGTTCAGTTTCGGTGATGAGTAACTTTGTTTTAACATTACATGATATCATCCTTCTTCTGATTTTTTTTTTAAGTGAAAATAGATTGATGTGTACATGGACACTGTGTTTGTGCATTTCTTTGACTTGTTATTTTGGTTTTGAGCAGCGGCCATCTTGAAACTGTGCCTTGCTGGCCAGTCACCAAAAATCACCAATTTTCACCAAAAAGCACCCTGAACTATATTTTTACCTATGTCTGTTTATCTCTTTACCTTTCTTTTAATTTAAATTTTTTAGTTATTTTATTTTTTCCTTCATTCCACAGGGCTTCGGCACTTCAACATTAGAAATTAAGCCCTGTTTGTCACTATAATTTTCCTCGGTTCCCAGACAATAGCCCACTGGACGAAAGCACACGTGACAAAAGCCCACTGTGATAATTGTCCATGCGACAAATACCCACAGCGATGAAAGTGCACATTGATAAAAGCCCACATTGATAAAAGTGCACGTTGATAAAAGCGCACATTGACAAAAGACCACATAATGAAGAGGGACTTATGGTTTTTTATTACTATAAAATGTATTTGTAATTTTAATTATAATAAATGGAGTATTCTAAATTTTAATTATCGCAAAAATACGTCTGTTCGTATTGCTACTTTATCTGTTTATTTTATTAGGTTGAAAGCAAACTTTCTGCTCTCTGATTAAGCGATTAGCTACAACGTTTCGATGAGAAATCTGAAAATGAATTTTATGATTTATTTACTTACTTAACTTTGGTACATGTAACGTTTGGTACGTAAACTACCAGGAGCCGGTAAAGTTGCATTTACTCGCGACGCACTGGCAATATATGCATGCACTGGATTGGATTGGGGACAAAAGAAAAGGAAAGCAATGGTTTCCCACCTGAATAGACAGCGGACAGTTAGAAAACTGCATGACAAAAGCCCATAAGACGAATGCCCACTTAAAAACTCCCCACATTTTCAGGAAATCCAAAATAGCTATGACATTCTGAAAAAAGTTACGAATAATAATTATTATGATTAAAAATGAAATTTCAAGTGGGAATGGAATTGATTTATGCAAAAGCCAAGTTTTAAAATTTAACTAAACCATTTAAAGGCGCGCTTTTAATTTACTATTAAAACTACTTATGATAGTGCACGCAAATGTTTTCTTAATCCTTAATAGAATACGGTACTTTTATCTTTTTCGTTGAAATTAAAGTTTCGCTTTGATTCTCCATATTAAATTCATTATATGCAAAATTTTCTGAATTGCTAAATTATTCTCTGTATTTGATGATAATTTGCATACATTTTACACTGCTTATAATTTTGTACAATTAAAAGAAGCAAGTGTGTTCAGCATTCCCTTTCATCTCCCTTTGTCGGACCTTATACGAGAGCGCTTCCATTTGTCGTGTAAATATAAAAACAAAATGTATAGGTTTTTAATTATATTATTTTGATTGACTCTCTGTTCTATATACATACAGGATTTTAATTCAGTCGGAGCCCAAAATTAAATGTGTTCCGCTACTTAAATTTATTGTTCAATTATTTGTTATTAATATAATTTATTTTTTATTTAATCTTTATTCATGAATCTGCTTTGCGAAGCTGAAGAAAAAAGGGAAATATATTAATTTTAACATAGCATATATATCGGTGTGGGGTTTTGTCAATGTGGGCTTTTATCACTTATATCTATGTGAACTTTTATCAATGTGCGCTTTCATCGGTGTGGGTATTAGTCGCGTGGGCAATTATCTCAGCGGGGTCTTTTTTGTGGGCTTTTGTCACATGCGCCTTCGTCCAGTGGGCTTTTGTCTGGTCACCATTTTATTCATAGCATTTCCCTTCCCTTCAACATTTAGAGATCAATAATTGTTTAATAATTATATTTCAGCAAGATGATCTAAATTCCGAAAAATTAAAAACCAGGAGATCTGAAGATTTACTGCAAGCATGGGAAATGAGATGAAAAATCAGACATTTCCCACCTTTACCAAAAGGTATGGAAATTTGTGATTTTAAATTATGCCTTTTGTCAAAAAGCAAAATTAGATTTTTAAAGCAGTTTTCTGGCAGAAAAAAGTGTAGAATAGGAAATGAAAACAAGAATATCCTATAACTTTTGTAGAACTCATTAACCTGTTATTTCTGCTACATGAAGATTCTAACAGATTAGACTAAATTTAGTTCATCATGTTAAATTCAAAATAACTATACGATAAATGATTTATTATGTTCATAAAAAGTTGTTATAATTAGCAAAATTCATAGCGATTACAATTGTATCTGGTGTACACTCATCCAGTCTGTTAACAGGAAGTATCTTCAATTGGAAATACATCAGTGTCTTTCTTTAAAAATAGGGTACAACTCTAATATACGCCCTAATTTCACCAAATGTGGCGATATGTGTTCTGCGCTGGTTTTTTGCGCGATTGCGTGTTCTGTGGCAACCCTGTTGACGCTGAAAAATCTCGCTGGAGCTCGTTGGTTCGCCTGTGTCTGAGAAGATGGGAGGGAAAGATAAAATGGTAATTGTTGAATTGAAGTTCGGCAAAATGAAATATGATTGTGGCTATCCTGTTGAGGGGTAGTGGGTATTTGGAACTGTGGAAAGAGGGTCTGGGAGATTATTTTTAATGGCAGTGCATGATAGAAGTAGGGATTTGTGATTTTATTTATTTGTGAACCATAGTATAAATTTTCTGGATAGTGTGTCTGGCTGTCATGTAAATGCGATAGTGATTACGTGGCAGCATGTTAAAGGCGGTATGAAATTTATATTTCTGCTATTCGAAAACGCATTAATTCATGGTAAGTGCATTTTATTTTATCCTTGTTCTTATTTTGTAGAATGTTATGTTCATTGGTTCTTTAGTATGAATTTCTGTCGTTATTGTTGTTTTTTTTAAATTGTTTGAAATTTATTTTACTTTATTTTGTTGTTTAGTGTCTAGACTGTACAATTCGTAGATGTTTTTTTAAAGTTGAAACAGAACACTGTGTACATGGTATTATTTGAAATTTATTGTTGTTATGTTATTTTATTAAAGCGAGGAGTGCGTAGATCGTAGATTGCTTCCTCGCCTAAATTGTGCAATTCGTAGAATTTTTTTAAAGTTTAAACAGGATGCTGTGTACATGGTATTCTTTGAAATTTATTGTTGTTATGTTAATTTATTAAAGCGAGGTCTGCGTACTTTGTAGATTCGTTCGTTGCCTACATTGTGCAATTCGTAGATTTTTTTTTAAAGTTAAAACATGTCACTGTGTACATGGATTCTTGTCAAATATTTTTGGTTAGAAACTTTACGTTTTTGCTATCTAAATTTTTTGTTTTTGTTTCGCATTTTTAGCTAAATTGTGTGTTCGAAATGTAGTTTTTGTATGTGCGAAAACAGCGTTTTTGGAGGCATTTTAAGCTAAAAGTTCAAAATGTAAACAAAAAATTTAGATAGTAATATGGCAGCGTGAAGTTTCTCGCCAAAAATATTTGGCGACTTGAGGGCGCATATCAGAGTAGTTCCAAAAATAGCACCGGATTTTCAATTAAATCTCTTCGGAAACAAAAAGAGAGCGCTTATCACAAATTGATGAAAATTCCAGAGAGCAATAAACAAAAATTGTTTACATAACATACAAATTCAAGTATTTTTCTCTTTTTCTCATGATTCATGTTTACCAATTTTAATACTAACCGTGCTCTCGGTGCTCTTTGATGAATTCTGGGATGACCATGAGCATGTACTTCTCTCCTTTGACCATTAGCCATTAAATCAAATACATATACGTTAACAACAAATACTAAATAGTAACTTCAACGCAACAAAATCATTTGTTTTAATAATACGCAAACACTTAAAGTCACGAGTTACATTAAACCAATAAGGGCAAACTTTAAAGGAAAACCTTCGAAATATACTTTCGCAAGTTTCGATAAACCCGTTGTTTACGATCATACGCACATATCTGTAAATAGAACCGCTACCGGGCTGCTGCTATGGGAACGGAAAGAATGCTTAGGTAGCACTTTGCATTTTCCATGACCAAAAAATAAAATTCCGTCCAGATAACTTTAAAATAACTTAAAAAATTTTTCATAAGGATTGCAAGTGTAATATGATAGTTTTTTTTTAAGCGGGGACATAATGTATCCTATTACGTTTTAACCAGCTATTATCACTCTTAATAAAATATATTATGTTAAACTACAGTTATATATCAAATTATTTAAAATATTAATCTCTTTTGATATTTTTATTATTATAGCAGTAGAATTTTATTTTCATAAATATTTTTTTTTTTTTTTGTATATATTCAGTCTCTTCAGATTTTCTAAATATATGTTGATAGAGACATTTCAAATTTTTATATTTTTTAAATAGTTCTGAGAATGTATTTAATTTCTTTCTACGTTTATTTTTATTTTCTTCGTTTATCTAGCGAATCCACGCTTGATCTCATCGCTCCTCAACTCTTGGATAAGCAAGTCTTGAAAACAATATGGAGAACCCCGCGCACGTTTACACAACGGGGATTCCAATGTCAGAGAAAGGAAATTTCCCTCATAATAAGTATGGCTGCGATGGTGGTAGCACGCGAGATGTAGTAGTTATTCAAAAATCGAATGATCATAACTATCCAACTGATTCTTCTTTAATTCTGTACGATTCTAGTGCTGAGGGTGTCGAATACATTAGCAATTCAATTCAAGATGGCTTCCAATCTGAAATACTGTGCAGTTTTGTGTGTGATGCCGGTTTACAGTCTGATTTACCTATGGATAATGCGTCATTGGATATTGACTCTATTTCAGAGTCTGGTTCTCACATCAAATTTTCTGATTCCCCAGGATCATCATTTACAGAAAAAATCGGTTCTTTTCCATCGGTGGAAGGTTTGGTACCAAGTCTTGATGAACAGTTAGATAACTACTTAATGCCTGACTTCAAAACAGTGAACAAATCAGATGATGGTGCTCAAATCCTTGAAGAGGAGCAAAGAACAGTTACTGAAGCGATATCTGCCATTGCTAAAAGTTTTGGTATCGATGACCTTTTGCCAGAAACTTTTCAAGTTGACGGCTGTAAGGATGGTTTGTCAATTACTGTTGCATCAGATAATCTTTGCAATGACGAAAACGAACACATTGGAGAATTATCGTTAGGAGATTTTGAAAAGTGTGCAGAACTTCATTCACCTCAGTCTTCATTGGATCTAACAGAACAGCTTTCACAAGATGCAGAAACGTATGTTTTGAATGGCTTAAATATGTTTGCTAATCAGTCGAGATCTTTTGAAAATACCAATAGTCGATTTCCATTGTTGCTAAAAAGTGAAAAATTCTTTCTGAATTCTAGAGAAGATTTTGGTTCAAAAGATGAACTTGAGCCTTTGATGACAGATGAAAGAGACAATAGTGATCATTTTGATTGCAGTGGCGCAAAAGTTTCAGAATCTGAGAATAGATCTTGTCCACTAGAGTTTGAAGTTTCAGAATCTGAGAACAATAGATCTTGTGCACTTGAATTTGAACAGTCAGATTCCAATTTACAAGAAAATAAATTGTGTGATGCAAATGAAAATCTCGATGTACCAACTGTTCGAATATCCGATGTCGAAGCAGATAATTTGTCTGAAATTGGGCAGAATTGTTCTTCAGCTGGTACAGTATTGATTACTAGAGATAGAACATCTAAAAAGATGCAGATTGTACTCACACTTGATCAGGGCCAACAAATATATAACATTGACACTGAGAGTGTAGATGCAAATGAAGAATCTCTCAGTTTGGATTTTCAAACTTCTTTAAATAAAGTAAATTTAGAAGAAAATATCTCAGAACATACAGAAACTCATGCTATTGTTTTAAATGAACAAGACCATGTTTCCGCAGATATAGAGTCAGAAAAAAGTAATGAGCCTGCCGAAGATGCAGAAACAAGTATTGAGGCTTCTAATTTCATGCAACTTGTCTCTAATATGCCGATTACTCCCCCAAAAGGGAAAAAAGGAAAGACATGGGTATGTCCTGTTGAAGATTGTGGTCAAATCTTAGATAAAGAATGCAAGTTCAGGGTTCATATGATCAGTCATAAAGATGCTAGACCATTCAAATGTAATTTTGAAGGCTGTGATTGGGCTTTCACTACACCATATAGGTTGCGTCGACACGAAGAGACTCATTTGGGATCTAAAGATTACGTGTGCGACTTTGAAGGGTGCAATCGAAAGTTTACTACAGTTTATAATTTAAAGACTCATAAGAAACGACACAAGTGGCCAAATTCACTAACATGTCCTTCAAAAGACTGTAAAATGAGCTTTTCTAATAGACGGAAATTAGAATTGCACCTTAGAGTACATAAGGATGTTGAAGCTCCTTATAAATGTTCTCTTTGTGGAAAACAGTATTATTCAGCAAACTGTATTGCTTCCCATTATCGAACCCATCAGTATAATGAAGATGATTTTAAGTGTCCCTTTGCAGATTGTGGGAAGGTTTATGATAAAATATGCAGGTTGAGGCAGCATGTTCGTCAGCATACAGGAGACCGCCCTTATACATGTCCTGCAGAGGGTTGTAAATGGAGTTTTGTGAGTGCAAGCAAACTAACACGGCATATGAGAAAGCATACCGGTGAACGAAAATTTGTGTGCACAGAGCCGGGGTGTGGTAAATCGTTTATGCGACCAGAACATTTAAAAGGCCATATTGTGATTCATTCTGGTGATAAACCTTTTCATTGTCCTCATGAAAATTGTAATGCTAGGTTTACAGCCAAATCTAGTCTTTATGTTCATGTAAAGAAACATTGCCCTAGTCTTTTAAAAGTAGTCTATCCATGCCCTGTGTCATCCTGTATCAAGAAATATAATAGTAAAGCAACATTAAAACAGCATCTTCAGAAATTCCACCCTGACTCAGTACGTGATGGCAAGAAATTAAATATAGCTGAAAAGTTAGAGTTGACTATGCCAGTATCTGTAGTTAGTCCAAACAATGAAAATTCTTTAGGCTTTTTAGAATTAGATGAAAGCATTGCAGATGATCCATCATCAAGTCTGAAGGTTGAATTGTTTCAGCCTTCAGAATCCTCTCTATGTAATCTAGCTCCATCTGTTTCCATTGATGGTAATATAAAACCCATTATCATAAATACATGGGCTGTCAAATCAGATTTAAAAGCATCAAAAAATAGCATGCAAATTGAATCTGTATGTTCTCCATTGGAATCAAAAGAACTTTCAAAACGTGTGATTAAGGTACGAAACACAAGTAGACAGTCTGTTAGATTAATGCAGAAACATCGAGGTGGTTGTGCTCGAACAGATTTTTATTGCAGCCATTCTCTAGTTCTGAAAAAAGATAATGAGCAGTCATTTGATGTTATGTCTATAAACGTAAGTAATAATAGGGATAACCAGGAATCAAAAAACTATTCAATTAGTAACCATCTGAATTTGGATATTAAATCTCCCGATGTGATGTTTGCGTCAACGTTGTTCCATGAACATTCCTCAGAACAGTTCATGAAAAGTACTTTCTCACCTGATGAGTCTTCAAGCACTCATAGTTTGTATCATGATGACAGCATGTTGGATGGTAGTTCAGCATTCACCACAGGACTGATTCCGTCAGCATTGCTTTCAGATGATGCTGACAGTGATGAGTCTGCACTTACACGGGACTCATCAGGAGTTGTATTTTCAGAACAAAATGGTGTTGATGCATTTTCAGAATCTATACATTTACATGGACTAGATTGATGTAGGATATTTCATAGATCTTAAGGTTGTTTATATTGCTTGCTCATTTTTCACAGTTTTTACTTAACAAAATTAAATTTTGTACATGTTGGTACTAGAAACTTTTTTTGTAACAATTCATGTTGGCACAATTTCATACTTGCTTGTTGCTGTTTATCTTTTGTGAGAATGAAGTATCAAATATCTGATCAAATGTTATGTACAAAAGAAGTAAAATTAAATTATTTATTGCCGGTGTATGTTTTAAATTGTCCGGGTGTTCTTCTTTAATATAGATTTATGTATCCCTTTTTATCATATATAGTATTTTATTAAAAATATATTGAAAAATAGGTAACGTATTTTATGGTCTGCATAGCACTCCCTCAGGTAATAAATTTGTAGTGAATACTTCTCATATTTACAGTTTATTTTTAAAAATTATAAAAGTGTTGTTAAATTATATGAAATATTAAGTTAAAAAAATTGCATCTTTTATCATAAAATTTTCAAACATGAATTGATTTTGTACATTAATTATGAAACTAAATCTAACATATGAAAAATATTAATATTTATGTTCATGCAGCATATGTTCTGTTATGTGGACTACTACAGTTTGATAAAAAATGTGTAATAATAAAATATTTGTTGCATTCAATTCATTGTTACTGCATCAGAAGTCATTGCTGAGGTATTCTATCAGTAATATGCTCTGAACCTTTGTTAGTATCTGTAAACCATTTTCATGGTCTTGAATTGATAAGTTACATGCAGAAGCGAACCAGATATAGAACAAATCAATGTTTTTGTTACAATATCGATAGTTTTTTTGCTGGTAGTGCAAAAGTAAACTCATCTGCCAACTAACAGTCTTCGTTGTCAGTTACCATTAGTGTTAAATAGCCTTAAATTTCAGTTTTTTGCTTTTATCATCATTTTACATTTTAATATGTATTTCTTTTAAGAACTCGGTCCTGAAAATGTTTTTCTGTTTGCACATGAGAAATATCAAGCTACGTATTAAGTATTTTTTAATATGGTTTAGAAAATTATTTTTAAACTGTTACTGTTATCCCAGAAAAGTTAGTAAAAGGGTATGACTGTATATTCACAACTTGGCATATCACTGAAGGGAATAGACCTCTACGTACTCCTTTCAGGTAAGTTTTGCTGATAACTAATAGATTCAGTGAAACATGACATTTGTGGGATAAGTTTTACGTATATAATCTCGGTTGAAAATGATCAGGGATTGCTTCACAGAAAAAAACACCTTGCAGATACATTGAAAGTTTTCTGTTATATATCTTGCCCAAATGTCGTAATCACTTTGTGTATAAGTATTTCCTAAAGATAATAAACATAAAAGGGTATTTTGAAATTTATGAAATAAATATGAATGTTTAGAATAGAAGTCTTAACAATTTTACAGAAAATTAGTTATTTATGTATTTTTTATTATAAATACATATTCTGCAGTAAAGACAGTATGAGGGTGAACTTCAGCAAAAATTTTCTTGGCATGTTATTTCATCTTCCCTCCCCCTTTACCAGAAGCAAATAGCTGTATTTGAAGCAGTATTTGAGGAATCAGTTTACTTTTAAAAAAGTATTAAAAGTTAGTGTTCAAGAATTAAAAAGATAAGTATTGATAGAAATATGTGCTTTAGAAGTTAATTCAGTTTTTAAAAAATATCGGCAGAAAAGATGATTTGGAACTTGTATTATCAATTAAATGTTCTATGGTTTTAAAATTGGTTATAATCTTTGCATCCAAGCTTTTGTATATTATAACAAAACAGCTGTGCATGGGTTTTTTTTCTTTAAACTGTGTTACTATTAAATGTTTTGTCAATTATAAATGGAAGTAAAATGTTTCTGTTTGATTCATTATTCAAGTTATATTTAAACTCTGTTTATATAATGTACTTGAAGGGGAAAAAAGGCTTGGAATACGCAAGACTTAATATAATTTTATCAAGGGATGTCATTTTTTTCCCTAAATTGACAACTGTATAATGAATTATAATTTTTTCTGGAATGGCTTTCACAGAAGGAAATTAATTTAACACATGAGTAAATACCAAATCTTCATTTAGCCATTAAAATACCTGATTTTTCATCATGTTTCTAATTTTTAACCTTTACTGTAGAAAATGGTCCCACCAGCGGCAGAGTGGTAAAGTCGCTGAACACTGGTAGTTCGGTCCGAGGTTCGAATCCCGTGAATGGGCTGACTGCGTGAGTGTTTTCCTGGTTTTTTTTCGCTGTGTAACGTGTATACGAGCCAGTTTCCCTTAGAAAGTCCTTCACGAAGGCATCCCTGAGGCAGATAGCCCTTGAGGCTTTGCCATAATCACACACATACTATAGAAAATGTTTTCAACGAAATTTGCTTAATGAGACAAATTTCATTCTGCACTCCTTATAAATTGTTCTTGTTTAATAGTATTTAATCTGAATTGTCTTAATCTACAGTATATATTCGTAGAATTTTTTATGAATATTCAACTAATGCTTAATCATCTAATATTTGTATAATTATGTTTTACATCATTAAAACATGCATTACTAAATTTATCTATACAGTGGTATGTACATTAATTATTCATTTTATTTTTATCATATTTAAAAGTTCTGTGATAAAATAAGTTTTTCTGAGTATAAAAATATAAAGAAATGACAATAAAAATTAGAATGTCTAAATAAATATTATTATATTGTACTTCAGCATCATATTATAAATAGTTTGATATCGATAATCATGTATTTTGAAAGTTTCTTCCCTGTATAACATAAAAACTTCCTGGAAAGAGTTTTTCTCACGAGAACCTTCCAATTTTCTCCATTTCAAGGTTATTAACAAAGATGCAATTAGGCTGTTATATATTTTAAAAACATTAGTGAAATTGCTTTAGCGTTTTAAAAAAATAAAAGATAAATAATGCAATTTTTAAATTTTAACAATATGATAAATGTTGACAGTGCTAAATATAGCCATAACAGTGAAAAGCTGGAAACTCCACTGTTCAGAGGTAGCAGCCATATCCTATAACATTTCCTTTGCTTTCCTTTTTGAAAAAAAAAGCAGAAATTTGTGGGCAGTTTGCTTCAAAGTATGCGCTGAAAATGGAAAGTTTCCGTAGATTGAAAACATTTTTCAAAAATTTTTCATTGTGTTGTGCATCCAGTATTCCAGTGAATGGTTTTAACCCTTTAACTGCTTAAGACGTGTTTAAACGTTTTTGGAGTTTCTTTAAAAATGCTTAAGACGTCTTTACACGAATTTCAAATCGCACGAAAAATGCTTAAGACGTGTATACACGAAGCCCGAATTTCGCGAAGATTGCTTAAAACGTGTTTAGACGACGCGATCTGGTCTTCCTTCCCTTACCTTTCTGCAGGCGGCTGTCAGTTGACACAAAGGTCTTAATAGGGTGTGAAGTCTGTTTGAAAAGAACACTTTACGGATGGGTCCTGAGAATGAAGAATCATTGTCAGAGAGCAGGTGTGCATTATCTTTCCAACGACCGCAAGCTTGTGAATGAAGATAAATCGTTTTACAACAGTTTGCCTTGTGGTTATTTATACAAATGAAAGTTAAACAGAATCGCTCGTTGTTATAATACATTACCGAAATTTAGAAGAAACAGGAAAAAGTAACAATTGTAATGTAAGACGTACTTTTTAATAAACCATATATTATACAATGCATTAAAAGTTGACTACAACATCAAGAACAGGATAAAATATAAAATGCTGCAAACTATCTTGTTTGTCCTTGTATTTCAAGTGCGGGTATTTCTAATAGTATATTTTTCCTTTTTACATTTTGAAATGTTAAAAATGTGCTTTCAGTATGCCTGATTTTTGTATTCGAATATGTGGCTGTGTGTTCCTTGTAAACGCGAACTGACATATAAAAATTTCTTGGATGTCGAAAGGAAGATATTCTACTTGAAAACTTCAATTAAATCGAATAAATTCATATGCCGCAGGAATTTCTAGAAATATTTGTTTTTAAAAATTTTATTATTAAGATTTGAAATACAAATTAGTTTTAAAATCTAGGGGAAAAGTATGCATTTCTTGGAACTTGTTTGAAAAGAAATCTACCGGTAGAAAATCGCTTAAAATCAATGGAGTGTAAGTTAAGTGAAACAGTTAATGTATGGAAGAGTTACATATACTGCGCACAAAAATTAGTCAGAGGAACAATTAGCTAACGAATTAAATTAATTACATTAAAAGAATTTCGTTAGAAATAAAACGTCTCCAAATATCAGTGCTGATAGCAGCACTAGGAATGAAAGTTATTAAATCCCTAACTTAATTAATCCGTTGGTACTCAATAATTGTCACCTACCAGAGGCCGATCAGTAAACGTCGCTGAACACTGATAATTCGGTCTGAGGTTCGAATCCGCAAACGGGTTGGCTGCAAGGGCGTTTTCGTGATTTTTCCCACGTGTAACGTGTATACGAGCCAGTATCCCTTAGAAAGTCCTCCACGAAGGCATCCCTCCTCTTAGGCAGATAGCCCTCGAGGCTTTGCCGTAATCAGATAAAACCAAACCAAATTAAAAACCAATAACTATATGTTCGCGATTACTTTGCGATTTTTTATAAAGATAAAACAGAAGCTCGCAGCAACCTAGTAGAAACTGGCAGTTTGAATTCCGGCGAATAGGCTGGCTATTTGGCAGTTTTCGTGGACTTTTGCTGCCTATATTTAACATGAATATAAGCCAATCTCATTTTAAATATCCTTCACGAAGACGTGCTCTGACTACGAGTCCTCGCTTGAGACTGTTAGATTAATGACAAAGCTCGCAAAGGGCGATCTGTTTAAAGAGGGTATGCTTTCGTGAAAGACCTTCTAAGGGAAACTATCTCGTACCGGTGTTACATATAGGTAAAATTTACGAAAACACAGATGTGGTGAGCCAGTTCACAGAGGTTTCAATCCAAGTCAAACTACCAAATAGGCCTCGTATATTTTGTCATGAGCTAAGTAAAATAAAATACAATATCGCGAAAGTCACTTTATGCTATTGAAATGGCAATAACTTTGTATTATACAGGCTATCATTTTGCCTTTGTTATGAGATTTTAATCTTTTCCGTTATCCAAGCTAGCCCATAATGGAATACTGGTAGTTCTATCCGGGGTTCGAATCCCGGCTACATGGATGCTTTCGTGTCTTTCTCATGTGTAACGTGTACACAAGCCGGCTCCCCTTAGAAAAGTCCTCCACGAAGGCATCCTTCCCCTTATGTAAATAACTCTCGAGTGCTTTGCCATAAATTAAATAAACATGCTTAAAATATTTGTATTGAAAATTTTATGCGTCAAAGTTGGTCCCCGTTAAATGAAATATGCTGTTTATTTTCTTTGCTTTTATAGCAATGTTCTTGTTTTCAGAATATGAAATGTCAATGAAACATTTTTAATAATGTCTCATTCTGTTTTGTTTTTTGTTTAATGAAAAAATGAATTTAAGTAACAAATTTCTTATGTTTAGAAAAATTTTACCATTATCGAAATGAGTTGCTGTCGAAGTACATTTTCGTACTAGCGCATATATTTGTAAAGAGAAATTTGTTTCACGCGTGTTATCCTATAACTGAAAAGATCAAGAGAAATTTCTATAGGGAAA